ATATATATATATATATATAAAATCACATCACTTTGTACCCCCAACGTGAAAACATTTTAACTTAACTTTAAAATGTTTTGTCAGAAAATAAAATCTAAAAGGAGAAAAAAGGATTTTGTTAGAACAAACATTTCACATTATAACACAACAGGTTATTTTTCTTCTTCTTTTGGCAGCATTATGCTTCCATAAAACTGTCCACTTTTCACTGTCCACTTTTAAAGCTCGTCTTAAAACCCATCTATATTACTTGGCTTTCAACACCAGCGGGATTTAGTTTTAAATTGTATGTTTTTTTTTTTTAAACCGTTTTTAATCACTTTTTTTATTATGTTGTTGTTTTAATGTACAGCACTTTGTATCAGCTGTGGTTGTTTTAAAGTGCTTTATAAATAAAGTTGATATGGTATGGTATAAAAAACCCATTAAGAAGTATTTACAGTGGCACGATCATGTGTGGTGGAATGGATTTTCAAAACTGCGTTGCTGGATCCCATTCAGATATGCCTGTCAGTTTTATTTTAGGGAGAAAAAGCCAAAAAAATTACTAAAATATTGTTTTATTAGTTTTAATTTTTAGTCGAGTTGAAATGATTTAAAGATTATTAAATTTTAGTTGGTAATTATTGGACGTACACTCCAAACGTTTTGGAAACTAGAAGAAGGTTGATGGTTGTAGACGTGGGATTCCAAAAATATAAAACAAGGTTTTACAACTGCTCGTCTGGCAGATTATAATGTAGAAAAGCATTTATTTAACTGCTGTAAGTAATTAATAAACTCCAGTGTCATCAGCTGAGTGAAGCATGTCATTGGTTTCGTTCCACCATCTCAAACCTCAAACATGTGAGGTCAAACCAAAGTGACGAACACTAACTCTGATTCTGTGTTCTAACTGCAAACACAAAAACAGCATCTCATGATTGCCTCTCTGGTTCCAGTGGTCCTGCAGGCCTGTGCTCTGGTCCTCTACCCCATCAAGTTCATCGACGGAACCGTTCGGGAGACCTATCACGAGTTCAACTGGGGCTACGGGCTCGGCTGGGGGGCCACCATCTTCATGCTGGGCGGAGGGATCCTCTTCTGCCTGCGGACGGATATTTACGAAGACGCTATGTATTAATCAGCTGCAGATAAACCCGCAGAGACATTTCTTCACTCTGCTGCACACGGCCTGTATGTGTACTCACACATCTTGTTTTATTTTCCTTCTGTCTCGCTCTGTTATTTTTAGACCGGTTTTAAAGGCCTCATTTAGGGTCAGAGCGGTGTGAGTGGAATGCCACCCCCCACCCGCCACCTCGCTCAGTCCAGCTGGTATCCGGGGGGCGGGGGGTGAGGTAGCAGCTCTAAAGCACAGAGTTTTCTGGACAGGCTCGAGGCACCATTGCTGGACGTTTCCACTGCCCTGGATGTGTTTTGTTAAACAGAAACGGACCTGAGTGTGCTGCGGGTCATTATGTACCAGGACTGACTCACCTCCACACTTTGTTTTTTTTAGTGTTTTTATAGCTTTTTATGAAGTTGAGCTTTTTAATAATGTATTTATAGCACATTTTTTTCACCACCTTTGCAATGAAAGCATGAACATGGCTAGTATGTAAATAGACTGACTTTGATATTTACTATCAAGTGAAAGTTTTTTTTTATTTTAAAAAACTACTTTTAGTTTGTCTCATGAAAACTGTAAATGTGTACAAATGATTTCTTTAYGATGGATGTTCTGAATAAACAACACTAGTTTTGAGAGAATTATGTGTATTTTGTTAATCCAAACCTTAGAATTGACTTTTATAGGCATTTATAGGCTTATTATAGAGCTACCACCARGCTAGCTTGTAGATCAGGGATGGATGGGGCCAAAATCTTTTGTTGACACTATCAGTGTCAAATGAATACAAAGAGTTTGACGTAAACAAAACATAATTTAGCGAGCTAAGACGCAAYGATATAAGACACCTTGAGTGCAGATACCTACGTGGTTGTGGATTGAGTGAAAAGTCACTTGTTTATGTGCAGCTTCAGCAACCTTCTCATATTTAGCTTTGTGCAGCATGTGGTGACTTACATTAAAATCATTCTTGGCAGACTACCTGGAAATTCTGTGAATAGTAAAAACAATTGCTTTTAATTTGTAATATTTTTATTTTATTTTAAAAAGCACTTTTCATAGAGCTG